ATAAAACGCTTATAACAATGTTTATAAGAGCTCAGTAAATATTAAGTAATATTTCTGCTATCACCATTAGCTTCAACCTCTTACTGTAACTCTACAGACCAGGCTGGGAGACACTTTTTTTTTCCACCTTTCCTCTTTGCTGGTTGTTCATTCTCACTGCAGTAGAATAATGCAATGTCCAATATATAGATAACAGGAGAATTCGAAAAAGGCAACTTAATACGGAAAGTTCTAAATAATGTTTTCCCTTATGGGTAGTTTAGCCAGTCTTTTATACTTTCAGATTCACTTACCTTTTACAGTTCTCATTCCAAACATTCACTGAAGATAGGTCACAGTAGAAAGTAGCCTGTTTACTTTGTGGGTATACTAAGATGGAGGTGTCAAATTGAAAAAATTGTTAGCTGTCAGAGGGCATGTTTAAAAGCAGGTAATTTGGAAAGAAGTGACATTTGAAAAGAACAAGGGCATTTGCAAAATGATTCCTTTGGGAACATAAGACCATCCAAATAGGAGATTTGTTAAGGCGCCTGTAATCCATGCACTCATAATTGCAAGAGTTGCTGCTTGCCCAAGAGCATGTTTTCCCATGGGACGATGTATTTTTCCCATTCCACGGTTTCTAGCGAAAACATGTTTTAACACCAACTCTGAGGGTTCACTTTAGTGTGATTTGCAGATAAATAATTCTGTGGTTTTCTTATGGGAGGGATTCAGCCAAGTCATACCTTTCTGGTCTGCGGAGACCAAGTGAACATAACAAACCTATGTTAAACCACAAAGAAGATCATTCGTTTTAGGAATGTGTAGCAATTTAATACCTGCAACTCAGAATATATTTGAGGACTTCTGGTGTGTACCCAGTACACCTAAAGATGGGTTAAGGAGATAAGAGATCACCGAGTCTCAGGGGAAGGCTGATACCTACTTCTGGGAGGTTTTTACCTTTGCAGTATCTGGAAGCAGAGGTAGTCTTTTTGTTAGAGCTTGAGGTTTGAAGTCATGAGCACTGACTTAGTTTCTTAAATTTCAAATTGAGGAGCATTTGGCTGTTTTATATATAATTATTGGACTTTTTAAAACCTTAGAAAGCAGTGGAAGGCAGTGGTAGAGAAGGGGTCAAAATATGGATTCATATCCAAGATGATGAGAACAACGTGGGCGAAACATATGATTCTGAATACCTTTCTTCACAGTGTGTACTCTGCGGTTGCTACGGCATTTATCATCTGTTCTCTGTCAGATTTAACCATGTTTTTGCTCTGCTTTTTACCTCCAAAAATGTGGCCGCCTCCAGTGTCATCTCTACTAAACAGGAATGCTGATAATTAAACTGTTTTTGCAAACACTCTAAGTTCACTAATGCACAGAATTACATGAAGTGAATAGACTGAGCATTGGTAATCTCAGTTTTTTTAAGTTCCGTTTTTTCGTTGGATCCAAGTTGGGAAGCTCAAGAAGAAAAGTAGCTTTTATCAAAAGGAAATCACAAAGTAGGGAATAATAACTGAGTTAAGGCCAGAGTGACCCATACATCAGTATGACAGTCTCAAAATGAGAAACGTGGCTCTCCAAAGTGGGCTCCGTTATGTTCTTTCCCCCATCCTCTCTCTCGCAAAGCGAGCCTAGATTTCACAGAATCTCAGATGTATTCTGAGGGAATGTAAGGATGTATCATATGTATTTATGTGGGTGAGAGAGAGGGGGTGTTCATACACTCCTTCCTTCTCCCTTTTCCATGCAGCAACACCCCACAAATCAGGAGGTGAATCGGACCTCCGTTCATGTAGCACTTAGTTTCCTTCCCAAGCCTTTGAGCTGTTCGAAGAGCTATAATTCTGAGTACATTAAGAACAGTTAATCTATACTGTTTTACAATATAGCCTCTGCTGTCAAAGCCTTGGTCTGTCTCGAAAGCTTGCTTGGAAGCCTGCCTCCCCTGCCTACCTTTCCACATTCTTCCTGTTATGTATTTTCTCCCCTCTCCCAGCCTCTCAGAGCACTCTGTTGAGTGAGCTCTTTTTATAGCACCCACCACAATCTGCTCCTGAATCCATTTAATGGTGTCTCTTTCTTCCTTATTTCAAGCTCCTGGAGATGGAACCTTGCCTTTTTTTTTTTTTTCCTTGAGTGTTCTTCTACAGTGCCTAGCAGTAGGTTTGGGGCTGGTCTGTTTGAGGTCCAGTCTGGGTTTAGTAAATGCTGTGTTTAATTCCAAAAGATCACATAGCCTTCTCTTTAGAGGTGTGAATGTATCATAATCCCTAACTCATTATGTTTATGTATTTGGCTCTGCCTGCCCCTAATAAACAGTGGGCAATTCCTTTTTATTATCCTTTATATTTTTACATAAGTTCTCAGGAAATAACCCATAAGAGCTATTTAATAATGATGTATGTTTCTCAAACTAAATTGAAAGTTTTGTAGGTTATTCTTTGTGGGAGAGTAAGAAAATGCTACAAGAAGTGGAAGAAAAAGGGAAAGATTGATCTACTAAAGACATTCTTATCGCCATCAGATATTTATTTGGTAGTATATAAAAGTAGATACTTTTTTATTAGGAATAAGTTGGTTTCTTCTACAGGCATTGATAAGGTGGTGATTGAACTTTTAATATGCACTGACATTCATTAGATTTATTTCATAACACTTTCTGGATCAATTGTTAATTTTTCATTTGACATTAGGACTTCAGGTATACACCACAACTATACAGTTTTTAGACTGGTGATTTGATTATCATTGCTCAAGTGATCATTTATGCTTTCAAAAATGTTTCTTCAAAGTAGTAACAAATTATATGATTGGGCCTTTTCTTGAAGCTTGAATTAAAACTTGTGTTTTTAATGTTCAGAGACTTGTGAAGTAAATTGGATATCTAGACACTTAAATGCAATGTACAGATGAGTATTTTTAATATTTGGAGCTTAAACTGTTCTCATGAGCATTAGTTTGTTCACTAAGCAAATAATTAGGAGCTTGCTCTACCTCACTCTCTCTCTGGGGGTGTGTGTGTATTATGAGAGAGAAAGAGAGATTCTCACTTTCTTGAGGTGTTTTCAGGGCAGGTATGCAGGCCTAAGGTTTTGTGCTGCCAAATCTAGCACAGTACCTGACTGATGGTTAGGAAAGGATTACTGTGTAGATTAATAAATGCTTTATATGTGCAGAGACATATAAAGCAGTATGCTCCCAAGAAGGCCTGGTAGCGTAAGTGGAGAGCCAAAGGGATTTAATTACAGTGTTTCTCATTGATGTAACAAAGCTCTAACAGGGAGGTTGCCCAGTGGAGGGAGGCATAACTGAGCTAAGGGTGGATCTCAGGAAAAATGTTGTAAATGACGTGTTCATGATTAGATACAAGTGGGAGTATCTCAAGTACACATAGGGAGGGAATGGCATTCACAGCCAGCAAGTAACAGGCTACTTTGATGTGAAAGATCTTTGTCATGGAACTGTGGATTTTTTTCTCCCTGTAATACAAAATGTGAGGGCATAGTGGCAAGAGACAAGGATGAAAAAGACATGTCAGATCACAAATGGCTTGGAATACCATGCAAAGAATGCATAGTATGGAGGAGACAATGGTGACCAATGCATAAAACTCATTATCTTCACCCCATTTCTCCTGCGGTATTCTCCGGTGTTCTCTCAAGCCTAGTGACTCATGCCAGAAATCTGGGTATTTTCCTTATCTGTTCTTTTTCTGTTGTGTCCCACATCTGATCGCTTACCAATTATTATGTCCACTTTTAAATTTCTCTCTAATCTATGCCTTTCTCTCTGTCCTCTGTTCTGATTCTTATACTCTGTTGGTATAACAGCCTCCTGTGTGGCTCCCTGCCATCCACCCTTTCCTCCCCAGTCCATTCTCACATTCTAGCCAGAGAGAAATTTCTAAAGGCGAATCTTGACCCTGCTAGTTTCTGCTCAAGATGATGTTGGCTTTGCAGTTACCCTTAGATGAACTTCAGTTCCTTGCCCTGAGCTTTGGCACCTCCTTGCCCAGTCTCCAGTGTAGTTTTCACCAGTCCCCACCCGCGCATGCCCCTCCTGTCTTGCTGGGCTTTGTTCTTCACCTGTGCTGGGCTCCTGTCAGCTCCCACCCTGGAACCCACTTTCCTCCCTCTTTTTTACCCCATAGCACTGTGCTTTGGATTTTGCTTCTAGGAAGTATTTACTTTCTTTTCAAATGTGGATTTAGAGCCCTTGCTGTGTGGACCTGCAGTGCCCATTATTTGTTCAATTGTGACATTTACGAAGCAGCTTTTTAATCACTTGCTTGTCTTTTTCCTCTAATGGACTTTGAGTTCAGTAGTGACAGAAACCAAGAGTAACCTGTTTACCACTTGATTCCCAGCACCTGGCATAATGCTTGAAATGTAGTAGGTATTTATTATTAGATCCACAGATAAGTGAAGTACTTATTCCAGTGTCCAGCACATAAGAGATACTCAGTATATGATGGTAGTTTTTTTTGTTTACCACCATATATAACAGCTATAATTATTATTCTAATCATTTTTTATTAACAAACTCCCTAAGAAGTTCGGGCAAAAGCTGGTTTATAGTGATGTGAAGAGCAGCTTCAAGGAGAGGAAGTAGAAACCAAGCACAGATGAATTTGGTAAAATGGTTGACTGAAAAAATACCTTCATTGAAAGGGTGGTAGTCAGAGATCAATGAAGTTAAAGGAAGGTATTTTTCAATGGTGAGGGAATGCTGGGCATGTACATGGGTTAAAGAAGAGAGTCCAACCTGAAGATACAGTTGTGGAGTCGGATCAATCCTCCAAGTAGGAGGATTGGTCTTGCATCTAAAAACAGAAGGGATCTTGCATAATAAGGAGAAAATAGAAGGGGTGGGGTTGCTGCAGTATGTGCAGGGGTCTGGGGAAGAAAATAAAAGCATCACCGAGGGTAACACAAGCATGTTTAATTATGTTGCATGAAAGGTATCTTTTAAGCAAAGCAATTACCCTCTTTCTTTTTTTCTTTCAGCTGTTCGGGGGTCTCGTCTGGATTTTGGTTGCCTCCTCCAATGTTCCTCTACCTCTGCTACAAGGATGGGTCATGTTTGTGTCCGTGACGGCATTTTTCTTTTCGCTCCTCTTTTTGGGCATGTTCCTCTCTGGGATGGTGACCCAAATTGATGCCAACTGGAACTTTCTGGTAAGGGCTTTTTAAGTCTGTTTTGCAAGAAGATGGAGAAACCTACATTCCATTCTGTTCTGAAAAGCCAGAGTCCTAGTTCTGCCTGTTGTCTCTAATGTCCTTGATGGACAACAGGGCCCCAGTTTGTGAAATCTCTGTGTTGATAGAGCTGAGAAATAATTCTGTTACTCCTGTAGCTTAGATGACTCTTAAAAACTGTTTCATTTCATACAGCAAGTGAATGGCATTACAATTTTTTAAAATTTATTATACTTTAAGTTATGAGGTACATGTGCAGAAAATGCATGTTTGTTACATAGATATACACATGCCATGGTAGTTTGCTGCATCCATCACCCTGTCACCTACATTAGGTATTTCTCCTAATGCTATTCCTCCCCAATCCCCCCACACCCTTCTATCCCTCCCCAAACCCCCTACCCATCTCCCCCACCCCCCGACAAGCCCTGGTGTGTGATGGTCCTCTCCCTGTATATGTGCCACATTTTCTTTATCCAGTCTATCTCTGATGAGCATTTGGGTTGGTTCCAACTCTTTGCTATTGTGAACAGTGCTGCAAAAACAGGTGTGAGCATGTGTCTTTATAATAGAATGATTTATATCTTTTGGGTATATACCCAATAATGGGATTGCTAGATCAAATGGTATTTCCAGTTCTAGATCTCTGAGGAATCACCACACTGTCTTCCACAATGGTTGAACTAATTTACACTCCCACCAATAGTGTAGAAGTGTTCCTACTTCTCCACATCCTCTCCAGCATCTGTTGTCTTCTGATTTTTTAATGATCGCCATTCTAACTGGCATGAAATGGTATCTCAATGTGATTTTGATTTGCATGTCTATAGTGACTAGTCATGATGAGCTTTTTAAAATGTTTGTTGGCTGCCTCTTTTGAAAAGTGTCTGTTCTATTCTTCACCCACTTTTTGATGGGATTGTTTTTCTCTTATAAATCTGTTTAAAGTTCTTTGTAGATTCTGGATATTAGCCCTTTGTCAGATGTGTAGATTGCAAAATTTTTCCCCATTCTATTGGTTGCCAGTTCACTCTGATGATAGTTTCTTTTGCTATGCAGAAGCGCTTTAGTTTAATTGTATCCCATTTGTCTATTTAGGCTTTTGTTGCCATTACTTTTGGTGTTTTAGTCATGAAGTCCTTGCCCATGCCTACACCCTGAATGGTATTGGGAAGGTTTTCTTCTAGGGTTTTTATGGCGTTATGTTTTATGTTTAAATATTTAATCCATCTTGAGTTAATTTTTGTATAAGGTATAAGGAAGGGGTCCAGTTTCAGTTTTCTACATATGGCTAGCCAGGTTTCCCAACACCATTTATTAAATAGGGAATCCTTTTCCCATTGTTTGTTTTTGTCAGGTTTGTCAAAGATTGGATGGTTATAGATGTGCGGCATTATTTCTGAGGCCTCTGTTCTGTTCCATTGATCTATATCTCTGTTTTGGTACCAGTACCATGCTGTTTTGATTACTGTAGACTTGTAGTATAATTTGAAGTCAGGTAACCGATGCCTCCAGCTTTTTTTTTATTTTTTATTTTTTTTTGGTTGTGGGGAGGGGGCTTAGGATTTTCTTGGCTCTGCGGGCTCTTTTTTGGTTCCATATGAAGTGTAAGGTTGTTTTTGTTTTTTTTTTTTTTTTTCCAATTCTTTGAAGAAAGTCAATGTTAGCTTGATGGGGATTGTTATTTAGTCATTTTTTTTTTAATTGCATGGCTTGCTTTTGATAGTTTGGTAACATATTTTATACACTCTCTCCCAGGAAAACTTTTTAGCCATGTATATAATGGAATTGTCACTAGTTGGTAACAATTTTTAATTGTTGCTTTCTGGAACTGTTGGCTCAAAAATAATTGTTTCCCCCTGTGATGATAGTTTATTACCACTTTATGCCATGCTTGAAGGAAGCAAGAATGCATTATGATAAAGAACTTATTTTTAGATGTATTTGTTGTAGGATATTGAGTTTACTATTTCTTCTAGTTTTTAAGAAATTAAATTTACATTCATGATTGATAGCTTCAGTAGTTTTTCCTGAGCTTTCTAGCTTTGATATAGTGAAATAAAAATAAAATATCTAATAACAGATATAAAGTGCTAAAATACTTGCCTTGCTGTATTCTAGGCAAATGATGAGATTTTGGTTTTGAAATAGTTTTTCTGTATTTGTGTGTGTATGGAGAGGAAAAAATACCATTTTTGTTGAACCTTAAACAGAAGATTATAAATTTATAGTTTCCTTTGTACAGGAAAGGTACTAAGGAAAGATACATTTTAGGAAAAAGAGCTATTTAAAAGTCCTATGCACCTAAACATATTTCTCTTTATTGCCCCATAGTATAACTAACTGTCACACATTTGATCATTTGCCTGTTATGGACATCACTTAATATATTTTTAGTTTTTAATTTTTTTTATTTCAATAGCTTGTAGGGCATAAGTGATTTTGTATTACATGGATGAATTGCATAGTGGTGAAATCTGAGATGTTAGTGTACTCAGTCCCCTGAGTTGTAGTATACATTGTGCCCAATATGGAGTTTGTGTTTTTTAATCCCTCCCTCTCCTCTCCTTGCCCATTCCTGAGTCTCCAGTGCCATAGCTTAGCTCCCACTTACAACTGAGACCATACAATATTTGGTTTTCAAATAACAAGTGAGTTACTTAGAATAACAGGCTCCAGCTCCATCCACTGCTTAATATCCTACGTGTCCTCTGTTCTTGTTCTCATTTATAAAAAAGAGAAAGCTAAGGTTCAAAGTGGGTGTCATCCTTCTTTTCTTGCTGTTAATGTAAACCAGCATCCCCCTATATACAATGCAGCTTTTTTATTAAACTAGTAGATAGAAGTTTGACCCTGAACTGAAGAGCAATGCATGGGCTTAAGACAAGAATGTAGGATATAGTCACTTGTGAAGGAAAACAAAAACCAAGCTATGCTTGAGGCTGAGGTTGCCCAAGGAAAAGGGGAACACAAGTGGGCAGTGCTCTGGGGTATGTGAGCATTGAGAAGGTTGGAAGAGCAAGAGTACATGAAGGTGACTAAGAAAGAGGCTGGGTTCATCTGTTAATAAGTGGAGGCCAGGGGCCTAGGGCAGAGGTTCGCAAATGGTGGTCCTGGCCAGACGAGCAGCAGCATCTGGAGACGTGTCAGGAATGGACATTCTCAAGTTCCACTGTGAGCTAAGTCAGAAACTCTGGGAGTAAGACTCAGCTGTCTGTGTTTAAACAAGCTCTCCAGGTGGTTCTGATGCAGGCTATCATTTGAGAACCACTGGCTTAGCAGAAATGATCTGGGCTGTCAAATGTCATGAGTGAGCCTTGTGGAAGAACTTCTTACACAAATGAGAATGATACATTCAGGATGGCCAAATACAAATATGGGTATAGCTCTCCAGAAGTTGGGAGTATTTACTGAGTAGTAAGCACTATACTAGGCCCTGGGAATACAATTGTGAAAAACAGGTCCAGTAGTCACTCTGAGTTTGTTATACTAGACAACATAAGAAATTGTTACATAATCAATGCATTAATTAATGTTATGTTAATAGCCAAAAAGCAAAAGCCTAGCATGCCAAAACAACGTAGGTGTCATCTCAGATCCACTGGGAAGCAGACTCTAAGATGGATTTAGAGGTACAAGAGTTTTGGTTTGGGCTTTTTGTGCATTTTGTTGTTGTTACTCTTTGTTTGAGGGAAAGGGGAGATAACACTTGTAAAAGGAAGATAAGGAAGAAAACCCAGATTGATGTATGCCACAAGTTCTTGACCACATCAATCTAAAACTTCAGAGCACAGCCGATCCTTCAAGACTTTTGTGTTGGGGCACAAGTGGCCAGGCACTAGAATCTCCACTGTGCTGTCTGTCAGTAGTGGGGTTGGGAGATATCCTGGAAGAATGTGGCCTTGGCTCACCCATTGTAGCAGATCCCAAATCCACTGAAGCTGGAGGCTGTCAGCTACGTGCACTCCTCATAGCTAAATATCAATTTCTTTCTTGATGGAAAATGTGTACAGTACACAATTAGATGCAACAGGTTTTTTTTGTTTGTTTGTTTTGAGATGGAGTTTCGCTCTTGCTGCCCAGGCTGGAGTGCAATGGCATGGCCTCAGCTCACAGCAACCTCAGCCACCCATGTTCAAGTGATTCTCCTGCCACAGCCTCCAGAGTAGCTGGGGTTACAGGCCTGCACCACCACGTCCAGCTAGTTTTTTATATTTTTAGTATAGACAGGGTTTCTCCAATGTTGGTCAGGCTGGTCTCAAAGTCCTGACCTCAGGTGATCCACCACCTTGGCCTCCCACGGTGTTGGGATTACAGGTGTGAGCCACTGTGCCCAGCTTTTTCTTTTTTCTTCTTCTTCTTTTTTTTTTTTTTTAATACAGTGTCTTGCACTGTCGCCTGGGCTGGACTGGAGTGCAATGGTGCAATCTCAGCATACTGCAACCTCCGCCTCCCCGGTTCACATGCTTCTCTTGCCTCAGCCTCCCAAGTAGCTGGAATTACAGGTGCACACCACCACACCTGGCTAATTTTTTCTATTTTTAGAAAAGACAGGGTTTCACTATGTTGGCCAGGCTGGTTTTGAACTCCTCTCATGATCCATCCACCTTGGTCTTCCAAAATGCTGGGATTATAATAATGAGCCACAGCACCCTGCCCAAAGTTTTTTTTTATTTTTTTGAGACAGAGTCTCGCTCTGTCGCCACACTGGAGTGCAGTGGTGCGATCTTGGCTCACTGCAACCTCTGTCTCCTGGGTTCAAGCAATTCTCCTGCCTCAGGCTTCCAAGTGGCTGGGACTATAGGCATGCTCCACCATGCCTGGGTAGTTTTTGTATTTTTAGTAGAGATGGGGGTCCACCACATTGGCCAGGATGGTCTCGATCTCTTGACCTCATGATCTGTCCACCTCAGCCTCCCAAAGTGCAGGTGCCAGCCACGGTGCCCAGCCTTAGTCTCTCCTTTCATAATGTAGGTCCATTTCTCCATATGCATCTGGATAGTTGCTCCTCCGGGGTTCCAGCGTACCTTTCTTCCTGAGGAAAGACTTAGGTTAGAGGGATACATGACAGCTCCTTTCACTAGAGTTGGTCTCAAGGCCGTCTGGTACTTATCTTCTTCATCTTCCGCTGACTGTTTTACACTCCTCTCCTCAGCTTTTCTGTCCTCTGGTCTCAGTGGTTTCCTGGAGGTGAATCCAAACTCTCATTCCTGAGAAAGTAAGAGCCCCTGGCAACCAGATCTGCTTCAGGCCAGCATTGCTACACCTGTTTTTAATCACAGTAGGCACAGAGGGCTTCCAAGAAGCCCTCAAGTAGATCACCTAAGTTCTACATATAATTCTTCTCGCTCTGCGGTGGCACATACACTAGGGAAGCACATGCTCCTTACTGCTGTCTTGACTTCCAGCAGCTCTGTTTCCTCATGATTAGGGGCACCTACCTTTGTCAAGATGGTAACTCCTCTGCCTGCTTTTTTGTCCCTGGACAGAAGAGTTCGAAGTGGCCAGGGAGTAGCCATAGCTTGTAGCTCAGTGGGACCATTGCTGTATCCTCTGTGAAGAATACTCCTTTGGGGACAGGGACCCCAACCAGGAAAGGCCTAGAGTTGTAGGGACAGAAATCAAAGAATTTCAGCAAGTTATTAGAAGTGATGACAAGTGGGGAAACTCTTGCTTTCACCCCTAAGTTTCCATTCTTCCCATGGGGACACAATAACACGTAAGAAACTCTTCTTCAGTATATTTACTGCGTCCTAAAGGATGGCTCCCATCCTCACAGACTAGTGCCCCAAGCTGTACCTTCATCCAGACATTCCTCTGTGCTATCAGGCCAGGCCGGCAGCTTCTAGGTGGTACAGTATGTGATCCAGCCCGTGGGTGGGCACCCGTTTCCACTTCTGCTTTGATGATAAGTGTTTTCCTTGGTCAGAGACTGGAATGCTTGTGAATTGGGCACTCTGTAAATCCTTGCATATAGCTGGTGGCTCAGGTGCTGGGAGACAGAAAAGCAAATTCATAAATCCATACCCTAGGGTAATTCTGTTTTTGTGAGAATAACCATTATGCATGTCTGTTTTTGAGAGTGAAGTATTTTGCCCTCCAAGAAGGTAGGAGCTCAGTTTTCATTCACTTACTACAGGTGACTGGTTGGTGGTCCCCTTGAAAATAATACCTTATCAGGAGTTCAGAGTTGGTCTCTGTTCCGGGCAGGTTCAACATTCAGAGGAAGCAGTGGGTAGATCAGCTTTGGCAATAAGGAGTCCATGCTCTTGGGCCTTTCCATGACCATTTTCTCTGACCATGGGTGCTCTGTTTATGTGCCCACAATGACAGGTATGAGGTGGTCGATGACAAAGGCTTGCTAACATCAACTAGAAGGGCCCTTTTGTCTGTATAACATTCCAAAGTGATGCTTCTGGTAAGCATTACCAAATGACAGCAAGATGGTTGCATTTCATGCCTAGTCCCTTCCTTGTCCCTCAAGCTGTGATCTGTTTTATCCCAGGGCCCTGACAAGTGCAATAGGCTATTTGCTATGGACCATGAGTCTATATAATCTCTCTGTGGCCTTTTTTTTAATGTGAGACAGAGTCTTGCTCTGTCACCCAGGCTGGAGTGCGGTGGCAGGATCTCTGCTCACTGCAACCTCCACCTCCCAGCTTCATGTGATTCTTCTGCCTCAGCTTTCTGAGTAGCTGGGATTACAGGCATGCCCAGCTAATTTTTGTATTTTCAATAGAGATGGGCTTTCTGCATGTTGCCTAGGTTGGTCTCGAACTCCTGACCTCAAGTTATTCACCACCTCGGCCTCCCAAAGTGCTAGGATTACAGACATGAACCACTACACGCAGCCATGGGCCACTTTCCTTTCTAAGCAAAGTGTGTGACACGCGTCATCACTCAGCTCCACCCATTGGGAAAATATTCCCAAACCACTGTCTTTCAAAGCCAACTCTAAATGTGGCTATAATACACATATAGTATAGCTGCTGTCCCTTTCCACTTTGCAACCACCCAGGAGCCCACTCTTCCATAAATGAAGCTCAGGGTTTTGTTCTCCTGAGGAAATCCCTGCTTCTCTGTGGCCATAGGTATGAACTGAGGAAGGAGAGCAGTTTCACTCTGGTGGGTAACGTGAGAGTCTAGGCTACCTGCTCACACAGTTAACTCCTGTTGTCTGGTCTTGCTCAGGTCAGTATCATATGTGCCTTTACCATCACAAGGAGACAGCCTCTGGACCACCTGACTTTTTCAGTTAGTGGCTTCTGAGGAACCCAACTCAAAATAAGCAGTTCTGGATGCCTGGCCACTTGGTATCTCAAAATCAAGTGTTTCTTCTCTACCAGGCCTAGCACCAGGAGCTGCTTTTCAGACCTGTCACTCTCTAATGCAGGATACTAGAGGCTCTAAAACTCCAGGAACCTCCATAGTAATTTTCACACTGGCATTGCCATAAATTCCCCACTATATCCTTTCTCCTAACACCAAGAGTATATATGACCCTAGCTGGTTAGGATGACCCAAGTATATCGAGTGAGGAGCACAAGGGAAGTAACACCTGTAAAAGATGAAAGGGGAAGAAACAGGATTGGACAGGAAAGCCTTACTCCTGAAAAGGAGGGTGGAAGAAGTAAAACTGGCAGGAATAGAGAGAGAGACGGGAAGGGGCAAGCAGTAACTGCTAGTTGGCAGAATCCTCTCTGGCAAAAACAATACCATGTGTCAAGAGTAGCATTCTTGACCTATGAAATGCTTCCTAGAGACCCAAATGAGGCGAATGTGGCCGACATGAAAAAGGTGTCTAATGGTAAAGAAGTCACAGGGTCAGATCACACCAAGAGTTGCTGGTCCTGTCACTGAATCTCTTTATTACAAGATCGGCTGTATCTGAGGATTCACCTCAGTAACTTAAATGAGTGTCTAGTGATCTCAAATTTTCTCTTAATTTTTCTTACTAAGATCCAGCTGCATTTCATTTAGCCATTAAAAGTGGTGACATTTGAATTTAGAGTTGACCCTTCGTCAGCTAGTATTTATTGAATAACCACATGTATTTAGCATATATCCTATAGATTAGACATGTGGCCAGTATGTAACACTTTTCTTAAATCTTTTGAAGGCATTTGTGAATCAGTTTACAAATGAGAGTTATTTAATAGAAAGCACACCTTTGTAGTTTTTAACCCATGGTTAGTTAAATTTGTCCTAGCAGAGTATTTCAGATGTGAAGACAATTCCTGTAAACAGTATCATTTGCTGTATGGGCATTTGCAAAGGCAGTACAATGCTCTCCTTTGTAATATTGCTATAACACTAATAGAAATCAGTAATAGGTTTGACAGGAAAGAAAGCGTACTTCAAAGGGAACCCTTGCACACTGTTGGTAGGAATGTAACAGTACAGTCATTATAGGGAACAGTGTGGAAGTTCCTCAAAAAGTTAGAACTACTATATGATCTAGCCAATCCCACGCCCAGGTATATATCCGAAGGAAATAAAATCAGTGAGATATCTGCATTCTCATATTCATTACAGCATCATTCATAACAGCCAAGATACAGATTCAAACCTGAGGGTCTATCAGCAGATGAATGGATAAAGAAAATCCAGTACATAGTTCATATTACTAATTCAGCCTTTAGAAAGAAGGAAATCCTGTCAATTGCAATATACATGAACAATATGTTATATAAAGTAAGCAAGGCACAGAAAGACCACATAATCTTAAGCTGAATTTACAGAAGTAGACAGTAGAATGGTGATTTCCCAAGGGATGAGCTGATGGGGGACTGTGGAAAATGTTGGTCAAAGGATACAAATTTTAGTTAGGAGAAATAAGTTCAAGAGATCTGTTGTATAACATGATGACTATAGTTAATAACAGTGTATTGTATTCTTGAAAAATGCTAAAATAATAGATTTTAAATGTTCTCACCACAAAAAAAAAGAATTATGGGGAGTAATATATATATATATATATATATATGTATATATATATGTATATATATATATATATATATATATATATATATATATAAGCTCCATTTAGCCATTCCACAATGTATAAATATTTCAAAATATGTAAACAATAAATAGGTTTTTGTAAAGTAAAATAATTTAAAAAAAAAAAAAACTGGACTTAGGGACCAGACACACTACAGGTTTTTCTCCCTCCTAAAATTAATATTTACTGGCTTTAAACAGTCATTTAACTGAAAAGAAATTATTTGTAAAATGGAGATAATTAATTGTGGTTATAAGGTTGAGTAATAATACACATAAGGTATCTGATATGTGGGAGCTATTACAAACAGTGATGTGTTGATATATTAATTCAGGTAAGACCATATGAACTGTAACAGTGTTAATGCTTCACTTAAATGTCAGCAACATACAAAGAAGCCTAACAAATGAGTTCTTATACTTTGTGTGGAAGTATATAACATGTTTTTAATGAAACAAACATATGGATATATGTTATTGAATTATGTATTTAATTAGTCTTCTGAATCTTTCAGTGGAAAATCTCTAATGATAAAAATAACTGGTCAAAAATTATATAATTTATATGAATACATATAATAATATAAAAATATGTTATTTAAATGCTATTTTACTTGAATTTTAAAGACAGCATATGTTATGGCTTTTTTATATTATCCTAATTAACATTGATCTCTAGGGGCATCTTAATCCAAATTAAAATAGTATATAATTATAAAATTCAGTATATGGAAAGGTTTACCAGTTTACCAATGTGCCCGTTAAAATGGGTTGATTTTTGCTTGGATTCTAACAGTTGCTTTAGAAATGTCAGGCTAAGATAAACAGAGAACGTGATTAAGATGATTTAATTAAATGTTTTGATCTTGCGAAACCTAGACTTCATTTGAAATACGGAACAGAAAAATATCTTATTAATTGCAGATGTCTTTTCTCTCCTCTTTTAGGATTTTGCCTACCATTTTACAGTGTTTGTCTTCTATTTTGGAGCCTTTTTATTGGAAGCAGCAGCCACATCCCTGCATGATTTGCATTGCAATACAACCATGACCCTGCAGCCGCTCCTGAGTGATAACCAGTATAACATAAACGTAGCAGCCACAGTAAGTACTCAATGAGTACCGTTCACCAGCACTTCCGCTCCACTGTCAAGGCCTCCAAGAAACTCTTCAGGCAACAATAGTTCTCTTTAATACTAGCCATTAATGTTAAATATATCATAGCTATTATCTGTACAATAACCCTGTGAGTAAAGTGCCATGATCACTTTGCTCACAGGGTTGCGGGTGATTAAACAGAAGCATAAAGAGAATGATGTTCATATAAGACCACAGCAAGCCACCGTCTCTCATTAAGAATTGGCCAGGCCTGGTGTGTTGTGCCTGTAGTGCCACCTGTTGGGAGGCTAAGGTGAGAAAATCTACAGAGCCCAAGGAAGCGGAGTTGCAGTGAGCCAGTGAGCCGAGACCACACAACTGCACTCCAATGGGGAGTAACCAGTATGACTAAGGAACTGTATTTTTAATATTATTTTAATAGTTTTAGCCACATGTGACTAGTGGCTATCATATTAGACGGTACAGGTCTGGAGTCTGAGTTTTGAGTGGTCTGCAAAAAGAACTGTGTTTTTTGCTTCTTATAACTTTCAGACATGGTAAGGGAGATTTCCCAGTTTGGTTCTTTAGTATTCAATAGCTGTTTGCACTTTATTTTTATTCAATGAATAGATACCGTGGGCCTACTATATATCAAGTAATTTTGCTGGCTGTTGAGGATGGGGTGAATAAGCTGCAGTTGCTGCCATTCAGGGAAGTGCAGGTGAGGAAGGGAGGCAAATATGGCAGCCATTGCAGTAGATGATAGGTAGATGACATGCATTCCTTGGGGCATTTATAAATTTTTAAATCATCTTTAATTCACATACTGGAGTGAATTTGTCATTTGGTATTGTATAGATAATTTGAAGAACTAAGGTATTTTTGTTGTTAAAGATCACTTTTAAGATGCTAGAAATCCAAATTTTCTGAAATAGTGTGATATTTAATATAAATATATGGCAAATTAGTGACCCTAATGTTTTATTATTTTTTCCAGGTTGCCTATAAATAACCCAGTACTCCCCATATAGGCGTTAAAATCTGTCTGGAGCAGCACTGTCTAGTAGAACTTTCTTTTTTGTAAGTGCTGTACAATATGTTGGCCACTAGCCTCATGTGGCTGTTGTGCAATTGAAAAGTTACTAAGCCAAAGAGCCATGGCTCATGCCTGTGATCCCAGCACTTTGGTAGACCGAGGTGGGAGGACATCTTGAGGCCAGGATTTCCAGAGCAGCCTGGTCAACATAGCAAGACCCTGTCTCTCAAAGTGGGGGGAAAATGTCTCTCAAAGTGGGGGGAAAAAAAAGAATAAAGAATGGGCCAGGCCTGGTGGCTTGTTGCCTGTAGGGAAGCTGTTTGGGAAGGTGAGGTGAGAAAATCTCTTTAGCCCAGGAGGCAGAGGTTGTCTTGAGCTGAGACCACACCACTGCACACCAGTATGATGAAGGGATTGAATTTTTAGTATTTTAACCACATGTGGCTAGTGGCTATCAAACTAGACAATACAGGTCTAGAATCTGAGTTTTGAAATGATTTCAAGACCCATTATAAGTTTCCCAAGTCTCTGATAGGATTTGTCAAAATTTATTGAGTGCCTGCAATGAATTAGGCTGAAGGTGGGATTACAACAAAGAGTCATGGTTTTAGCTTTGAAATGTCCCATCCATGGGACATTAGATTGGGAGGAAAATTCCTTTTCTCTAATGCATGTATCAAAAGCTGTTGCTCTCATTTAGAAAACAATGTCTAGATTAAAAATTGTCAGAGAATCAATCAGCAGAAAGAGGGTGGAAAGAATAGCAGAAAAGCAATTAAATTGTGAAAATGGTCTGTAGGTGAATCCGATATTGCTTCCCAGAGCTATGGTTTCCTGGTTAAGAACCCCTGTGCTAAAACATAATATTGATCATGTTGAACTGCTTTAGCTTTGTCTTTTAGTCTTCTATGGATCATAAACCCCCAAAGGGTGACGACATCATCTACCGTTTGCTTATATGTACCAAATGTAGTGATATACACACAGCTGGTGCTGAAGAAATTCTCATTAAATTCTAAGGACAGTAATTCACAGTAGAGTGCAGATTTGTGCATAGGACTGTCTCCCAGACAAGAGAAAGCCAACCTGGTCATTCATTTCCACTTGTCTTTGTTGACTTTTAAATTCTGAATTTTTAAATACAGTGCCTGGGGGTTCACAGTTACTTAATAAGTGAGTCCAGCATGTGAACCAATGTTCAATATAAAGTTGTCTACAAATGAGAAAATTAATTATTAGGCCTAAAATGTTTAAAGGAATTGGGGGGTAATTGTATGAGGGAATAAAACAGTTGTACAAATCATCAAAAAAATATATTTTCTAAGTGTCTTTAGGTAGAGTGATCAATCTTCATATGGTTGTTCTTTAGGACACTGCTTTTAAGTCAGTGTTGTGAATCTGATGTGAATTTTTGCTTCTTTTTTCTTAGATTTTTGCCTTTATGACGACAGCTTGTTATGGTTGCAGTTTGGGTCTGGCTTTACGAAGATGGCGACCGTAACACTCCTTACTGACAGTCGGGTGTTAGTTTCATTTGTCTACTTTATATGTCTGATCAATTTGGATAACATTTTGTCCAGATATAAAAACATTCCAAAAGTAGTTTGTTTAGTAGGGAGAGACTCTAAGCTCAAGTTTTGGTTTATTTCATGGATGGAATGTTAATTTTCTTATGACGTTAAAAAAAATGGCCTTTTATATTTCTCCCCTTCTTCCCTTCCTTGTTCCTTTTCTTAAAGTTTCCTTTTATGTCCATAAAATACAAACATATGGTTCATAAAAAATTAGTATACGTTCTGTTTGGTTGCTGAGTCACCTGACCCTTAATTTTAACCTTTCAAATAGGCTTCCCACTGACCTCTACATTTTAGTGTAAAACAGAAAATGGCACACTTTGTTTTAGAACAGACCAGATGGTAAATATTTGTGCTTCATGGGCCATACAGTCTCTGCCACAACTATTCAGTTCTGCTGTTGTAGCATGAAAGCAGCTATAGATAAAACAGAAATGAATGAGTGTGGTTATGTTCTTATGAAACTTTATAAAAACAAGGGGAGTCTGAGTTTAACCTTGTGGGCTATTGTTTATCGACCACTGGTGTAAAACAACTGATCATGAAAACATAGAAACCTAACAACTAGACAAGCCACATAATATTTAGTCTCATTATGCAATAATCACATTGCCTTTGTGTTAATAGTCAAATGCTTACCTTTGGAGGGGCATGTAGTTTCTCAAACTGTCTCAGGCAGAGTCCTGAATATAGGAAAAAGTAATTTAAAAAGTAATTTAGGAAGTAAACTTTAGTTGCTTAATCAAACTAATGATCTAACAACTGAGCAAGATTCTTATCTGCGAGTCCTTAAAATGGGATCCCCAGAGACCATTAATCACTACTGGAACTGGTATCTAGCTACTCATGTCTTACTTTTAATTTATTTATGCTTCAGAATACAGTTGTTTTCCCTGTGCATGAATAGAGCCATATTTGTGTGTGGAATGTGAAGCTTTTCCAAATAGAGCTCTCAGAATAATTGTTACTTCTAATTATTTTGCATTACTTTGAGTTAAATTTGAATAGAGTATTACATATAAAGTTGTAGATTCTTATATGTTTTTATATTAGCCCAAACATCTATACTGTTTTTGCACTGGTGACAGAAAGGCAAAATCAGTTTTCTAGCAATAGCCAGGAATAAAAACTATTTCTGGCTGAATAGCATAGAAAAGCATTTTAACCTACCTGTAGAGATCCTGGTTATGGAAAGGTGCCAAAGTGCTTTGAATGGAAGAACAAATAGAGTGAGGCCACAGTTCCCACCACACCAGGGCTTTTGTATTGCTCTGTTCTTTCAGCCCTTTCCTTTCTGGCTGAAGCATCCCCTTGGAGTGCCACGTACAAGTCAGGCTATCAGAGTTCATGGAACGTACAACAACTGTGAATGAGTGGCATGATCAGTACTTAATGATTAAGTGTTATTTATCTAATAATCCTCTAGAAAGAACCCTGTTAGAACTTGGTTTGTGATTAAAAAAATATAAAGACAGAAGACATGAAGGGAAAAACAAGGCTTGAGGAAATCAGGCATTATGACTTTATACTTACATCAGATCTTTTAATATTCTACTTCCTTGGTTTTCCTAGCTACATCCCACACACCTAAACCTGTATTATGAATTACATGTCATAAATGTGCCATAAGGACATATAGTCCATTCTAGTTGGAATCGTTTAGTCTGCTAAAATTTAGTTGTGAGATTTTATTTTTGTTTCCCAGGTATAGCAAGCTTATGTTTGGTGGCATTAAAGTGATTTCTTTAAAATGCTTTGGTGGCACTTTTTGTAAGTAGATTGCTTCTAGATTGTTACAAACCAAGCCTAAGGACACATCTGTGAATACTTAGATTTGTAGGTTAATCACAGTCTAGATGTGTGAGTTGAATGACAAAGCAGTTGAACAAAAATTATGGAATTTAAGGATTTTACATATCTTGTAAAAATGAGGAAGTGTTGGTTGGTTTTAAAATCTGGTGACTCCATGATGAAAAGAAATTTATTTTATATGTGTTATGACTAATAAAGTATTCATTTGATAATCTTTGTGGTTATCTATTTATTGTACCATTTTCTTTGAAATTCAGTTAAAGGCTTAATATAAACTTGATAGAGCTTCTAGACTTACAATGTATAAAAAGTTCTGCTTAAAATATTTCTGTGCAAAAGAGTCTCTCAGGAATTGTCAGTAAGTCTTATTTCTTTGATGAAGGTGAAAGAGGTAAGTCTTTGAAAGTAATGTTGCAAAGGAAGTTTAAATGAGAATTCTGTTTTGCTGAGTGCAGTGACTTACGTCTATAATCCCAATATTTGGGAAGCTGAGGCAGGAGAATCACTTGAGCCTAGGAATTCAAGACCAACCTGGGCAGTATACTGAGACTTCATCTCTACAAAAAAAAAAAAAAAAAAAAAAAAAAAAAAAAAAAAAAAAAAAAAATTAGCTGAGCATATGGTGAGGCACGTGCCTTTAGTCCCAGCTACTTGGGAAACTGAGGTGGGAGGACTGCCTGAGCCCAGGTAGAGGCTGCAGCCTGGGTAACAGAGTGAGACCCTATCTCACCAAAAAAAAAAAAAAAAAAAAAAAAAAAATTATATATATATATATATGTGTGTGTGTGTGTGTGTGTGTGTATATATACACACACACTTTATATATATAAATTATATAAATTTATATTTTATATATATACACACACACACACATATATATATAACTATCCATGCCAAAAAGAGAGAATTCTGTTTTATCTAAAAAAGCATTCTTGCCATACTTTGTATATTCCAAGCATTTTTTTCAGGCATTACTTAATTTATTCCTCATCATAACAACCCTATGGGGTGTATAATCTTTTCCCATTTTAAAGGCTTGGAGACTAAAACACAGATGTTAAGAAACACCCAGTGCTGCCTACCTAGCAAGTGAGAAAGCTGGGATTTAAACCCTGGCAGTCTAACTCCAAAGTGCAGACTTAATTTCTGTTTACCTCAGTTTACCGAGATTTTACATACATATCCAAAAATGTGATCTTCCCCGCCCCCCACAGAAGTTTTAGCAGAATGTTTAACAACATAATTACGGTAAATTTCATATCTTAGAACATTTTTTTCATAACCAAGGACTCATGATTTTAGCTGGAAGAATTTAAGCCAAACCTGCATGAGGGAGAAAAGGTTAGGCTGCTTGCATCTTAAACCTACTTATGCCTAGTGCTCCATTATTGGAACACTAAGCTTGTGGGAGTTATTTATATCCTACTGCTTAAGGTCATCGTCAAGGTCTGACTTTTCACAAAAAAATATTTGCAACCTCTGGCAAAAATGGGTTATGTTTAGTGTTTTGAACATCCAACTTTGTAACGAAAAAGCATGTTAGTTACACTTTTATTAGGCTGTGCCCCTAGCAAAAGGGCAATCCTAGTGCCTCTTATCTCAAGTCACCTGCATGGCTGGCTTTCTCACCCTCTGGGTCTTTGCTTTGTTGTTGCCTTTACAGTGAGGTCCTACCTCAGAACCACATTTAATCTCAAATCTCACAGTAGCACTCCCTGTCCTCCTTTTCTACATTTTTCTCCATAGCGCTTAGGACATATTTTACATACAGTGTATACGTATATAGCATTAATTTCTTATACATTTACTTTGCCCTCTTCTCCACTAGAAGGTAAGATTTGTGTTTTGTTAATTTTACACAGTGACTAAGTTTGGGCAACTTATACCACATGGGAAAATTACATAATGTCTTATTTCTTTGTTGAGAATTTATTTGTTCGATGAACAAATTTTAACAGAATTAAAATATTTCCTTTGTCACTAGGTAATTATCTTGCATATTTCCTCACACTCCATTTTAGAGACCATATAAATAGAATATTGGCTTGGAGGGCATAAAACTATCTCCTTTGTTGTTTGATGGAAGTGTCTAACATAGAGGCTGGCAGCCGTAAGCACTGAAATTGGTTTCTCAGTAAGAAGATAGGTATCCCATTTCTTCAGAATGACAAAGTTGACTAAATCTCAAAAATTAACTCTTGGCCGAATATGCTTTCATAGAACAAATAAATTCCCAACAAATAAATATATTATGTATTTTTCCCATGTGGAATAACTAAGTTGCCCAAACTTGGTCTTGTTTTTTTATTTTAACTTTAATAGTTATACTTTCCATGTGAATTAGGGAATTGTAACTTGCGCATCAATTACATGATTTCATGGATATTATTCAGTGTAAGAATAAAATATGAAAAAACAGTTCACTGAATATTTGTGGGACCTGAGGTGAACCACTTAATTTATTCAAGCCTAAGTTATCATCTACCAGTGATGATGACGCAAGTCTGGGAGACGAAGACCTTTGGAAAGCATCAGCCAAGATGCAGTTCCAAGCCCAAGTTGTTTGTTGGAGATAATGCCTCCAAAAGACAAAGGGGAGAGGGAGAACAAGTAGGAAAAGAAAGCTTTCTGCCCCTGATGCAGGTTTGACTTTCATGAAAGTAGAAGAAGATTAGGGAGTAAGACCCTCAGACTGCACTCACTCTGAGAAAGTCTCAACCAATTTAGCAGTGAGCTCCAACACAGAGATTGCCCATCGAGGAGCCTCATGCTAGCTAGAAGCAATGAACTCTGGGACCAGCACCGTGTGCAGTCATTGTCTGTGGACTGCCCAGAACGAATGGGCCCAGCTCCTTGTCCTGGACACTGAAGGAAGATCCTGAAGGCATCTGCAACTGGTGCTATCAGAGAACTGCACTCCCTGTGAACCGTTCTCTTTTGGAGATCTAAATAGCACACTTCATAACTGCCACTTTTCACTCTTTCTATCAAATAAATCCACTTCTTCATGCATATCCTGGGAGCCACTCCTTAGTGGGCCTCTCATCCTGAGGGTAAGACTTCTAGAAAAGGAAGATTAGTGGGTCAAACTCAGCCACATCACTCCAGTTGGTCTTGGGAACACAACTGGTTTCATCTCTCTCTCCAACCATCCATTCTGAATTCTCTTCGCAGCTATCACCTACCTCTGCAGGTCTGGGTGAGTTATCTGGTGATGTGACCCTCACCCTCATTCCTGAAGGGTCTGAATCCAAGAAAGTAACTTTTTCAGGTGGGGGTCACTGCACTTGCCCATCCACAGTCACAACTGGGCAAGAAATTACCACAAAGCTACCCATGTGGATCACCTGAGTTTCATACATTCTCCTCCCTATTTCTCTGGTGTAGTATCAGTCCTATGTGCCTTTTTATCAGGATCAATTACCACTGCAAAGAGGGCAACTCCTTCCTGCTCGCTGGTGCTTGGACTCCAAAATGCCTCAAGAGCTGCTACAGCTTGTACTTCAATAAAGCCCTTGCTCTGCATTTAATTCTCCACTTCAAAGGGCATGACCTTGCTGCAGAATCCACAATCTTGGACCTAAATTGTAATTCCATTTTTACCCACACCTCCACCTGAATTCATATGTTGAAGCCTTCATTTCCAATGCAACTGTATTTGGAGATAGGATCTTCAGAAGATAAAGTTCAATGATTTTATAAAGGTTGGGCCCTAATCCATAGGACTGGTGGACGCTCTAGAAGAGGAACTCTCTCTGACTCTGTCATGTGAGGGCAGAGCAAGAAGATAACCCTTGAAAGCCAGGAAGAGGCCCTTAACGGGAACTGGCTCTGTCAGAAATGGATTTAGGACATGTAGCCTCCAGAACTGTGAGAAAATAGATTTCTATTATTTAAGCCACACAGTTCTGTGGCATTTTGTTATGGTAAACTGAAGTCACCAAGACAAGATGCTGTGTCACAGCCTGGATCTGCTGCACAGCTCTTTCCTGTTCCAGACACCACTCAGAGACCATCCCCTTTTATGTCAGTGTAGGAGCCAAAGGAATATTCCTACCCATGGAACATATTGCCCCTAGAAAACCCAGTGAGATCTACAAACCATGGTACTTCCGTTTTGGAATGAAGAAAGCAAAATGCAACCATTTAACTTTTTCTATGCCCCCGACAAGTAGATGTCTAAAATTTTTATAGAAAGAGCAGGTGCTTGAATCTTCAGAGGGTTCATCTCATGCCCTCTGGAGTGCACATTTTACCAAGGTTTTCATTCTGCCCTTGTTCATTCTGATAAAGAACCCAGTATCATGTTTTGCAGTTATTACCAGGAGGTCTTCAGATTATGACACACAGCAGGAGAATTATGCCAGACCTGCTACAAATCTGTCAACATGAAGGAGGACACTCTGGCCAACGTAATGATTTGGGCCTTTGAAAGTACAGAGAGAACAATACTTGAAAGTATGTTTAGTTTAAACAATACGTTTAGTGCTGTGTGACCCTTGTAAAAGTAAACTGTTTCTGATGTTCTTTTCTGGCCAAGAACAAATTCCTTCCCCATACCATATTCCCCATACCTCATCTGGCATCACAGTTGTTGTCAGGATCATCACTTGGTTGAGCTTGTGGTATTCTATGGTCGGCCTCCAGGATGCATCTGATTTCCACACCGGCCATACTGTTGAATTAAGCAGAGATATAGTAAAGACAAACTTCCTTGAATCATTAAGATCCTTAGCGATGGCACTATTCTCTGTCAACTCCCTTCCCATGAAATGTAATATTGTTTTTTCTTTTTAATTTAATACATTGGCTGAAGGGCTGCACAGTTTCAGAAACCTTTACCTGGGCTTCTCCACTACGATAGTTCTTAATATACAGACTAAAAATTCAATACAAGGTTTACACCAATTGCCAAGCATATAAACCCAATTATACATTTAGGGAACAGGGAGATGGCCAAAGCTTAGTTCATAAACTCAGTAAGCTTATCAGGAGATGGACTTTGACCATGGTTCTATTTATTACCTTTCTACTTATGTACCCAGTCCAACAGTGAAATGATAATGACGTTTGGGGCCTTCAAATATGAATGTCAACTCAGTCCCTGTGTCCAAAACCCTCACGATATCTTATACTTCCCCTTGACCCAGTATCAATCCCTTGAGTAAATTTTCATACATGTCTTTGGGAAAAGACCAAGGGAATCACCATA